CATGTTAATAACTTGATTGGAATTATAACCTTGAATTGACAGTTTGATACTTTGAAAATTTTGAGCCAGCCCTACCCCCAAGGGCTGTAGGGTGGGGCTCAAAGGAGTCAGTGTGCTAAAATTTCTTCATTTTCCTTGCTAAGAATCAGAGGTGCTAGTTTCAAATCCTTTTTAGTCTGAAATCTGTATGCTAGATATTGAGTAAGGTGGTTTTATTGTTTTTTGTCACTTTGAATAATATTTCTGTTCATGTTAAAAACAAAATCAACTCTCTGTATAAATATATCAGGTGACCGTTAAGGCCCATGGGCCTCTTGTTTATTTTATCTTGATGTGATGGTCTGTCCCTTATAACTTTCAGGTTTATATATTCAAGTTCAAGCCAGGGATCAAATGTCAAATCCTTAGGGTATCCCTGTCCATATCATGACTTCTGTATTCAAAGATTGATTTATAAATAAGGTGACTGAAAAAACGTTCCACATGCAACTTTCATATCTTTACCCCTTACGTCAATATATCACAACAATGGGTAAAGGTCATATCATTTTAATGCTTATTTCCTTTATATTGCTAAAAACAGATGTGGTTGTTTATCAGTAATTTTCTTGTTTGTTCAATGAATACTATAAATATTGTGATTAGGTTTGAGTCAATAAAAAAAATTCTCTGATTCATAATCCCTTTATTAGATAACGTTCTGAAGCAATTCTGTATTTTTCTGAAAAGTGCTTAATGCAGCAGAAATTCATATCTGGTGATATGACTAGTCAGCATTCAGGTTCCCGTGTCAACTCTTCAACTGAAATATTCTATACATTGTTCGAAAATGTCTGCGACATAACAATAGAGTGGAAGTGTAAACAAATTTGTGACATCGTTGGTATGTATCATTTGTGACTAATCTCAGAGTTTCTACTGATTTATATAATCAGAACAACATTCAGCTCCAAATCTACAATGCATTTGATTTCGTGCACAATTTTGCTAGCTTACAAAGATTGACAGCAAACTACAAAAAAAAAATCCTTTTGTTTTATCATTTGGGAGAAACTGTCTACTGTGATACTGTCGGTTGGCTCAGAACATGTCACTTTTACATGGCAAGTCGTGATCAAAACGCAGCTACCCTGTCTCAGTGGCCTTATATAACACACACATGGACAGGCTTATTCTGTTGGGTTTTGTAATCAGCATTGACATGTACCATCAAAATGTCAGGTTGGCAGAATAATTTAAAACAGAATTTTAATGCTGTGGCTAGATTGCATATTCCACAAATTGTTGATTGTTATTAAAAAACAATATTTTGTACCAGAATAAATGTTAACATACTCAAATGTGATAACAAAAAATTCTTCAAATGCCACATATATTTTTGATGACTAATGCCTGGGTATTTTGTAAGGGCCATTCTCATGAAAATTTCTTAAAAAGACTGATGTTTAAAGCTGGCCGTGGTGGCCGATTTGTTTAGGTGTCTGACTATCCATGGTCGCTAAATGGCCTCCATCACTGGTTCGCGGGTTCAAGACTTGTGTTGGACAGGCGCCAGGTACTTGCCGCAGGTTGGTGGGTCTTGCGGGATATTCCATTTTTCTTCAACACCAAACCTGGCTGGTCCTTTAATGACCATAGCTGTTAATATGATGTAAAACTTAACTAAACCAAACTGATCTTTAGTCTGACAGAAGAAAAAGCATTGCCAAATTGTTGTTAATGAATACTGTCATTATGAATGCAATTAAGGGACAGATATATATAGACACATTGTCGATTCTTGATGACATTTTACTGATTATTTGTCACTTGGTTTTGATTAGAAATAAATTTCCACTGTTGCACTAATTAACTAAACAGCCATTGTGTTTAATCAATCATCTGTCTGACTAAGTGCATGACTAATTCTACATGTGTCATTATGTTCTGTAGCTGCACTTAAAGTTAAAGGTATTTGATCAAATATAAAGTCATGGTCTGTGGGAAGCTTGACATGATTTTCTGTAAAAGGTATTTGATCAAATGTGACGTCATGGCCTGTGGGAAGCTTGACTATCTGCTGTCAAAGGTATTTGATCAAATACGAAGTCATTGACTGTGGGAAGCTTGACATGATTTTCTGTAAAAGATATTTGATCAAATGTGACGTCATGGCCTGTGGGAAGCTTGGCTATCTGATGTAAAAGGTATTAATTTATTGAAATGTTGATTCAGTGTCCAGGAGAAGCTTGTTAGAGTTAAAATCTAGCTTGATATTAAACCTTAACAAATAAACTACCAGGAACTAAACTATTCGCAAAATCCATGAAAACACTATCAAACTGTACCAAAGTACTCCATCTTATTGGTGTAAATGGGAGAATTTGATTGGATGATGTTATGTATGACATTAAGATTTTGATTGGATGATGTAATGTATGACATTAAGATTTTGATTGGATGATGTAAAGTATGACAAAAAGATTTTGATTGGATGATGTAATCCATGACATGAAGATTTTGATTGGATGATGTAATCCATGACATGAAGATTTTGATCGGATGATGTAATCCATGACATGAAGATTATGATTGGATGATGTAATCCATGACATGAATATTTTGATTGGATGATGTAATCCATGACATGAATATTTTGATTGGATGATGTAATCCATGACATGAAGATTTTGATTGGATGATGTAATCCATGACATGAATATTTTGATTGGATGATGTAATCCATGACATGAATATTTTGATTGGATGATGTTATCCATGACATGAAGAAAGCCTGTAGTTTATCTGGGAGCAAAGTTTACCATTTAGCTACTCTTCTGTTAAATTGACAGAGCATTCAGTGCTGGTGATCATGAGATGTCCTTCGCGGTTTCACCTGAACCAGAAGTTAGGTGTTTAATAATTCGCCACAAAGTGATAACAAGGACAGCATTAGATGGATTTCTGTATAAAACAGTATATGGATCGAAACAAAAGCTGAAGTCCGGTCTACAAAATATACACTCAAATAAATAATAAATGTGAAGGTTCTTTGTAAAGTGTTTTGCAAAATTTAAACTGAATTTTAAAGATACATATATACATATGTATTATTTAACGATTGGAATGCATCCTTTAAAATTCTTATTGATATGCAATACTAGTAAGTTTTATCAAACTTTTATATGTTAATGGTGAAATATATCGTATCTTGGTAAGTTTGATTTAGACCGAGGTCTGACTAATACAGGGTTTGATATATACAGGTTTCTGACTAACTGAACTAGATAAGAGACACGGTGTAAGGAAACACATTTAAAAAGAAGATGTATAGGTAGTTTTTAATCTTGTACAATACTGGCAATAATTTTTCTGGAACTTTCTTCTCTTTCAGAATTAATCTTGTTTCACTTAATAATTTGTAAACAGACTGATGAAGGCAGTATTGATTCAACATTAAATATTTGATACTGCATGTATTTGTCTAAATTATTGCCATTGGCCTGAACTTGATTGACAAGATTGTTGTTTTTCTGTAACTTAATGCCTGTTTTGTCAGTTAAGTCCCTGTTTTCTATTTCAGATGGAGGATTGGTAGTCATTTGATAAAATGATAAATAGGTTACGATCAGGAAACAAACCTAAGTCACATGACCAGATGCCGACGTGTGGGAAGGTGCCCCCTACCAAGGAGGATATTCTCAGCACAATGGACCAATTTGGAGACATGGATACAGACGGTACAGTTTGTTACAGCTATACTACCTGTAATTAGACCGAAGAAATAGAATTCCCAGATAATTGGGCCCGAATGGGTATTCCGTCTTTTCGTATTGCAGAGTTATCTGCTCTTGTGAGCAGGTATTGATTGTTATGACATTTGTTTGTGAGAGTAACGTCATAACTCTTTTGAAAAAACGACGTAATTTTCCCACACAAACTATAATGATGGAATAATGTGGGTATGATGTACCTGTATGTATACATAGGCCTATATATAGCTAGTTTCCATCATTGGATCAGGGTTTGGAAACTCATACAGGTGGTTTTTTTTCATTTTCATAGACACTCTGACACTGACTCTCATTAATGTAAAATTTGTTAAACAATGATGTTTTTGTCAAGTATTTATATATAAGGAGCTACATAACTGTTACACAGTTTCCCTGCAATAAGACCAGGGGCCCAGTACATAATCTCGATCTTGACACAAAGTATAGGGAGTGGGCATATTACAGGACAGTAATGGAATTTCTTCCAAACTGTAATAAATATGGACGGGCTTATATTATTAGCATCAGAACTCATTTTCATTCAAATGCTATGAAGACTTTGTAACTTTGTCCAAATTTATTGTAAGACGTATGAGTTGTCAAAAAGGTTACTTAAGAAAATTAAAGAAATGAAAAGTTGAGCTTCATATTTGTAAGCAGTACTAGGTTTGTCACTGTTACCCTTCCGTGCCTGTATTTCACCTTAGATTTTAATGCTAATTCTTTGGAAAAAGGAGCTGAACAGTCACATATTAAAGTTATCTATGTGTGAATACAACTGTCAACCTGAAATTTAAACATTTACTGGTCATGATGACTCGAAATGCATAGGTTGAATAACACTTGTTAACACTTCATTGTCTTACAGCTAACAACACTGTACCCTTGTTAAAATTCATGATTTACTGTTAACTCATTCACCCCTGAAGACACATTTGAACGCTTCCAATTCGATGGTTGGAATAGTTCATTATGAAAGTTCAGGGGTGAATGAGTTAATACCTGAAGGTGAACAAAAAGTTTATTTTAACTAATTTCCGTGGTTCTGTTTTACAGATAGCAGTCCAGAGGTTGTAAATGGTGACAACAACAACACAAAAAGACTCGCCAGTAAAGACAATCTGGACACAGGGTCATGGGACTTCGGGGAGGTAGAACCCTTGGGAGTCAGCAGTCTCTCCAATGCATACGGGTATGTTGACTAAGCTTATCACTATATATAGCTAAGACACTTTGGGTTTGTTGTTAATCTTTACTTACCAAGGAATATAAGTATGGACTTCGGGGACGTAGAACCCTTGGGAGTCAGCAGTCTCTCCAATGCATACGGGTATGTTGACTAAACTTATCACTTTATATAGCTAAGACACTTTGGGTTTGTTGTTAATCTTTACTTACCAAGGAATATAAGTATGACTTCGGGGACGTAGAACCCTTGGGAGTCAGCAGTCTCTTCAATGCATGTGGGTATATATGTTGACTTAACTTATATCTCTAACACACTTTGGGTTTGTCTTTAACCTTTACTTACCAAGGAATATAAGTATGTATCAAATCTGTCTTACCAAGGTATGCAAATTTGCCTGAATTAATTTGTCTGTATTAAACTTATCTGTCCAATAGTTATAAGTAAACACAAAACTCTCTCTTTCAAAAATTTAAACGTTAACATCGTGTGTTTTTGTGATTTTACTAAAATTTCGTTAAAATATTCATTTTTTTTTTACTTCCACTTCTTTTTCTTGCTACATTTAAATTTTACAAATCTGTTTGGTATATTATTTTTTCTGTCACGTTTTTTGGTTTAAACAGGATGGAGTGGGATAAACTGTTTACCAAACCAAATTACCGTCGATTGTTACGAGCGCTTGCTATGACGGGAAACCTGAGGAGCAGTCGATTCAGGAGCATCTGTTGGAAGGTAAGCATAAAAGATACTGTTTACAAAAAGTATTGTTCGTCAGATGACATTTGTTTTACACCAGTCAGTATAAAAAATAATATGGTTGCTGTGATTGTGAGGAACAGACTTTTTTAGTTGTCAGGTTGTCATTTTAAAACTTTGATAAAGTTCATGTCATGTAAAAACTTCAAAAAGAATTGAGTAATTTGGGAACCTTGATCTATGTATGGTAACATAAACTTTGATGTATATCTTAATCATGCCCTGTCACATAGTGTTAGGCTTTATTAGACTTTGTGATATGCTCCATTGCTCTAATACTAGCCCTTTCACCACTGTAGACCATAATGGACTCATCCATATCAATGCATGGCAGAGTCTACTAAAGTTACATAGGGGTGAAAGGGCTAGAGATCCAACAGTCATCAAGCTTTCTATGTAGATAGATCTTGTGAAGTACTATATGTATATATCAAATGCAGGTCACTGTGGCCTATATTTTCTGCTTCACTGACTTTGGTTAGGCTCTGTGTTTATAGCTCCATTTCTTGGTAAGACTCAGTGTTAAGCTCTATTTCCGTTAAGGCGGAAGTGTGGTGGAGGTCAGGGATGGGCGAGATATATATACATATGTGTACAGCATACTGAAGTATCAACAACGCTGTAATTCAAACTCGGTGATTGTCTTATAACTAACATGTACCTTTAATTTGGGTGATCGGGTGGTGCAGTGGATAGCGCCCTTGCCTTTCACCAAGGCTACCAGGTTTCGTACACCGATCGGACGTGAAAAGGTTGGGGTCACCTGCCCGACCACGTGGGTTTTCTCCGGGTACTCCAGTTTCCTCCCACAACAAGACCCCCCCAACCCCAACATCCGGGCCAACAAGAGTGATTAATATAAGTTGAAATAACTTGTTTCATAATTGTTGTAAAATAAATGAAGTTTATATTATATTATATCTTTAATTTTCCAGGTGTTTTTAGAAGTGATACCAGAGGATATGGGGAGGTGGATCCCCAAAATAAGGGAGTGGCGAGCCAAGTACGACGACCTGAAGAGGAAGGTATACACTCAAAACTATAAAGGAAACTGGAGTAAATGAAGAATTAAGTGTTCCTTTTCAGTTAAAAATCACAAAATATTTTGTTAAAAGAATCAAAGACAATATTTCATCATTTTCAGATTTTTATCATGACAACGTAAAACATTTAGAAAATATTAAAAGGGTCTACACATTGTAAGTCTGCACCAATCAGAGTTGTAGTCCTTGATTGAGGTATTTTTTATTTATTTCAGTTGATTATAAACCCTCGGAAAGCTGTGGATCACTCGGTGTCCGACTTGGTTGTCAATAACCCTCTGTCTCAGGCCGACGAGGTAAGGCATTCCTTAGTGTATAACCCTTTGTCTAAGGCCGAAGAGGTAGAGCATTCCTTATTGTATAACACTCGGTGTCAGACTTGGTTGTCAATACCCCTCTGTCTCAGGCCGAAGAGGGAGGGCATTCCTTAGTGAATAACGCTCTGTCTTAGGCCGAAGAGGTAAGGCATTCCTTAGTATATAACCCTCTTTCTCAGACACATTGTAAGTCTGCACCAATCAGAGTTGTAGTCCTTGATTGAGGTATTTTTTATTTATTTCAGCTGATTATAAACCCTCGGAAAGCTGTGGATCACTCGGTGTCCTACTTGGTTGTCAATACCCCTCTGTCTCAGGCCGAAGAGGGGGGGCATTCCTTAGTGAATAACGCTCTGTCTTAGGCCGAAGAGGTAAGGCATTCCACAGTGTATAACCCTCTCTCTCAGGCCGAAGAGGTAGGGCATTCCTTAGTGTATAACCCTCTGTCTAAGGCCGAAGAGGTAGGGCATTCCTTAGTGAATAACCCTCTGTCTCAGGCCGAAGAGGTAGGGCATTCCTTAGTGTATAACCCTCTGTCTTAGGCCGAAGAGGTAGGGCATTCCTTAGTGTATAACCCTCTGTCTAAGGCCGAAGAGGTAGGGCATTCCTTATTGTATAACCCTCTTTCTCAGGATGACGAGGTAAGGCATTCCTTAGTGTATAACCCTCTGTCTCAGGCCGACGAGGCAAGTCATTCCTTATTGTATAACCCTCTTTCTCAGGATGACAAGGTAAGGCATTCCACAGTGTGTAACCCTCTGTCTCAGGCCGACGAGGTAGGGCATTCCTTAGTGTATAGCCCTCTGTCGCAGGCCGACGAGGTAAGGCATTCCTTATTGTATACCCCTCTTTCTCAGGATGACAAGGTAAGGCATTCCTTTGTGTATAGCCCTCTGTCTCAGGCCGACGAGGTAAGGCATTCCTCAGTGTATAACCCTCTGTCTCAGGCCGACGAGGCAAGTCATTCCTTATTGTATAACCCTCTTTCTCAGGATGACAAGGTAAGGCATTCCTTAGTGTATAGCCCTCTGTCTCAGGCCGACGAGGTAAGGCATTCCTTATTGTATAACCCTCTTTCTCAGGATGACGAGGTAAGGCATTCCACAGTGTATACCCCTCTATCTCAGGCCGACGAGGTAAGGCATTCCTTAGTGAATAACCCTCTGTCTCAGGCCGACGAGGTAGGGCATTCCTGAGTGTATAACCCTCTGTCTCAGGCCGACGAGGTAAGCCATTCCTTAGTGTATAACCCTCTTTCTCAGGATGACGAGGCAAGGCATTCCACAGTGTATAACCCTCTGTCTCAGGCTGACGAGGTAGAGCATTCCTTATTGTATAACCCTCTTTCTCAGGCCGACGAGGTAAGGCATTCCTTAGTGTATAACCCTCTGTCTCAGGCTGACGAGGTAGAGCATTCCTTATTGTATAACCTTCTTACTCAGGCCGACGAGGTAAGGCATTCCTTAGTGTATAACCCTCTTTCTCAGGATGACAAGGTAAGGCATTCCTTAGTGTATAGGCCTCTGTCTCAGGCCGACGAGGTAAGGCATTCCTTATTGTATACCCCTCTTTCTCAGGATGACGAGGTAAGGCATTCCACAGTGTATATAACCCTCTGTCTCAGGCCGACGAGGTAGGGCATTCCTTAGTGTATAGCCCTCTGTCTCAGGCCGACGAGGTAAGGCATTCCTTATTGTATACCCCTCTTTCTCAGGATGACGAGGTAAGGCATTCCACAGTGTATATCCCTCTGTCTCAGGCCGACGAGGTAGGGCATTCCTTAGTGTATAGCCCTCTGTCTCAGGCCGACGAGGTAAGGCATTTCTTATTGTAGAACCCTGTTTCTCAGGATGACGAGGTAAGGCATTCCACAGTGTATAACCCTCTGTCGCAGGCCGACGAGGTAGGGCATTCCTTAGTGTATGACCCTCTGTCTCAGGCCGACGAGGTAAGGCATTCCTTATTGTATACCCCTCTTTCTCAGGATGACAAGGTAAGGCATTCCTTAGTGTATAGGCCTCTGTCTCAGGCCGACGAGGTAAGGCATTCCTTATTGTATACCCCTCTTTCTCAGGATGACGAGGTAAGGCATTCCACAGTGTATATAACCCTCTGTCTCAGGCCGACGAGGTAGGGCATTCCTTAGTGTATAGCCCTCTGTCTCAGGCCGACGAGGTAAGGCATTCCTTATTGAATAACCCTCTTTCTCAGGATGACAAGGTAAGGCATTCCACAGTGTATAACCCTCTGTCTCGGGCCGCAGAGGTAGGGGATTCCACAGTGTATAACCCTCTGTCTCAGGCCACAGAGGTAGGGGATTCCACAGTGTATAACCCTCTGTCTCAGGCCGACGCGGTAGGGCATTCCTTATTGTATAACCCTCTTTCTCAGGCTGACGAGGTAAGGCATTCCTTAGTGTATAACGTACCCTCCGTCTCAGGCGGACAAGTAAGGGGATTCCACAGTGTATAACCCTCTGTCTCATGCCGATGAGGTAGGGCATTCCTTAATGTATAACCCTGTCTCAGGCCGACGAGATAAGGCATTCCTTATTGTATAACCCTCTTTCTCAGGCCGACGAGGGAGGTCATTCCACAGTGTATAACCCTCTGTGTCAGGCCGACGAGGGAGGTCATTCCTTAGTGTATATAACCCTTTGTCTCAAGCCGACAAGGTAAGGCATTCCTTAGTGTATAACCCTCTGGATCAGGCCGAAGAGGTAGGGCATTTTTTGATATATCATAGAATGTGTTTTAATGAAACTGTTTTGTTTACAATCATAAAAATCAGTGCAATGGTCCTGAAAATCATTAATTCAAACATTCATGAATCACAGTTTCCATGGGAAATATTCAGCAACTAAAGCGTGTTTCCATTTTGCCTCAAAAGCCAATACCTGTTTTCTTAGACGTCATTAGCAAAATATTGATAGAATGAACAAGGAGATGAAAGTGTAATATTCGCCTTAGTGCCGACAAAATGTTTGGTGTCATGTCATAAAAATGTCACCGAGTCATGGAACATTTTAATGGTCAAAGCCAAACTGAAAGTTGATGGAATAGTATAAGATAAGTTGATGAAACAGTATAAGATAAGTTGATGAAACAGTAAAAATAAGTTGATGAAACAGTATAAGATAAGTTGATGGGACAGTATAAGATAAGTTGATGAAACAGTAAAGATAAGTTGATGAAACGGTAAAAGATAAGTTGATGGGACAGTATAAGATAAGTTGATGGAACAGTATAGATAAGTTGATGAAACAGTATAAGATAAGTTGATGGGACAGTATAAGATAAGTTGATGAAACAGTAAAGATAAGTTGATGAAACAGTAAAAGATAAGTTGATGGGACAGTATAAGATAAGTTGATGAAACAGTAAAGATAAGTTGATGAAACAGTAAAAGATAAGTTGATGGGACAGTATAAGATAAGTTGATGAAACAGTAAAGATAAGTTGATGAAACAGTATAAGATAAGTTGATAGAACAGTATAAGATAAGTTGATGAAACAGTAAAGATAAGTTGATGGAACAGTAAAGATAAGTTGATGGAACAGTATAAGATAAGTTGATGGAACAGTTATAAGATAAGTTGATGAAACAGTATAAGATAAGTTGATGAAACAGTATAAGATATGTAAAAACTTGTACACTTCCAGAGTCCATGGAACCAGTTCTTCTTGGACAATGAGCTGAGATTGACCATTAAGCAGGATGTGATTCGCACGTAAGTCTTAACAAAAACTGTTCTTGCCAGACAGTTCATTTCTATACTGTATACTAGCCCTCTTAATTCACCAGGTTGAACTTTTACGGTTCAGTTTCTGGAACTCTATTATGGTGTAAATATTCCATGTAACATACACCTTTATTAGTCAATAGTCCGAAATAACTCTCTCAGAAGATCTGGAACAACACATTTTGCTGGGTTTATATTTAGAATATTTATTCCGACCAAGAATACAGCTAACATGATGCATCCATGAAATAAAGGAGATAAACAGTTCTATAGATAAATTTATTTGAGCTGAAACTCACTGATATATTAGGTAATAAATACAGAATTGATTATATAATATCTGTGACAATTGATTTCTAGTTTGAAGTTATTTTAATTTCATTATTTATGAAATTTTAGAAGGTTCTGGTATTTGTTTCATAGATAATGATAATATCTATATGCTATATCAATGTACATAAATTGGAAGTGAATATAAATATAAAAACAAAAGATATATGTAATAAGTACATCTAGCTTCCCTTTGTTCGGAGATGTCAGCTATCTACATAGTCTGAGGTCTTCTATTATTTGTTTTAATGATTTTGTTTTCATCTAATAATCATTAAAATATTGATGAAAGAGTTTTTCTCTCATTTCTCTGTGTGTAAGGGTAAGAAAGGGGTGTAGGAAACTTCTTTCTCTTACCCTGGATAGGTGTATCCACACTTTTACCGGTGTGAGATTTCCTTGTCTCACCCTAGGCTCCGATGCCGCAATGCGGAAAAGGCGACGTGATGAAATTAAACCTTTCACGATAAATTTACCATACACATTAGAAAAATGTGATTAATTTTTCTGGGCAAACATTGTTTGCAAATATGGGATATGCTTAATCTTGCTTGCTGATTCGTTTTCGTCTAAAAAAACTCAGGGGGAAAATTGATATTTTCAAAATGGTGGCCAGTCCAAATGCATATTCATGGTTTCTGAGTTTATTCTGATGGTTGGAATGAGAGAAAAATACTCTTTCATGCCCAAGGGTGTAGAATATGGAACTTCCACCCTCAGGATTTTCAAATTTGGCAAAACACTCGGCAAAGCCTCGGGTTTTACCAAATTTGAAAACCCCTCGGGTGGAATTTCCCTGTCTTACACCCCTAGGCATTAAAGAGTCTTATGATATTCATTAAGTAAGTGTATAATTTGTAAATGCAGACTCGAGAAGTATTTGTAGCTTGTTAAGCTGTGAGTAGAATGATTTGAATGAATACTAACAATTGTATCATGTTTAAGTCTTTGATCAGTTATATGTTGTGTGTTACCTTAATTTGTTGCCTTGTCTCATTATATTTTATATGTCATTTTAACTGTGTTCAAGATTTGGTCATCACTTTTATCCTGTTTTAACCCTTTCACCACTATAGACCATAATGGACTCATCCAGATAAATGCATGGTAGAGTCTACTGAAGTAACCTAGGGGTGAAAGGGTTAATATGTACACCAAAGAGGAAAGTTGGGTAAAGAGAAAATTGGATCAACTTTCACAAAAAGAAAATGAAAAATTATGATATTGCATCTTTATTTCTGCTTCATAGATTGTGCCATCATGTAACAAAATGGTCATTATTTTTTTTGGTGATTATATTTTGAAAGCAATTTTACACTTTGCTCCTTTTTGAATTGGTCAATAATGTTTTCCAGCTTGAGCAAAACTTGAACAGCTGTATATATTTTACAGTTGTTGCTGTTACTGATACGATGTACATGTGACTAGTCACTAACACACATTCTCCGTCTTACAGCTATCCAAGGATTGCGTTTTTTCAGTCCAATCAAGTGCGGAACCTCATGGTGGATGTTCTTTTCATCTATGCAAAGATTAACACTGAGATTTCCTACCGACAGGTGATCCCGATGTTGTTCCTTGTTTCTCTCACTACTGTAGTCTTTCTATCATTCTTTCATTCATTTTAAGCAAAAGTCTTTTGAATTTTCTTAACAAGGGAATGTAAATTAAATGTGTCCATCCCAAAAAATTGTTCTTTCAATAATTTCAGAAGTCTGTACAAAAAGAATTATTAAAAACACTCATCATTGAACCAATGACTTTGATCTCAAGGTTGTCATCACCAGGTGGCGCTGACAGCTCTCTGTTTGGAATCATAATTTGTTCGACAGGGGAACATCATTTACTTCCAGATGTACCAGTTGTTTTGGATTTTTTTTTTTTATATACCCGTGTAAAAGAATTCAAAAGAAGTTACAGTGTATTTTATCATTAGAATGTGGTTCATCAGTTTTGATGGACACTTGTGTATGTTTGAATGACTTTGTAACATTCTTCACACTACCCGGTATTTAACCCTTTCACCACAGTAGACCATAATGGACTCATCCATATCAATGTATGGCAGAGTCTACTAAAGTTACATAGGGGTGAAAGGGTTAAGTGAGCACCATACCTGTTACAACACAAACACCAATTAATGTCCCATCATTTTGGAAATTGCCATTGTAAAGGATGGTCATAAAATGTGTTAATGTTTTAAAAGACATCCTTGGGAAATAGTTTTAAAAAACTATTTAACCCTTTCACCCCTATGTAACTTAAATAGACTCTACCATGCATTGATATGGATGAGTTCATTATGGTCTACAGTGGTGAAAGGGTTAAATATCAAAAGTTGCTTTAGATGACTTCTAGGTGGAAATAATTTCTTTCAATTTGCATGATAAAATGTGGGCAGTTTTGTTCCTAGATCAGATTTGGAGGTGAAATTTAAACTGCACAGTTAAAAGCCCGTTGACCCAAGTAACTTTACAAAAAGAGCAAAATATTTGCATGCTTTATATTTTGCATGTAAATACAAAGTTATTAATTTTCAATGAAAGGTCATCAAATTCCAGTATCTTTAACAACCTTGGTATATACGCTGCCTGTTTGTGGCTGCTGTGTGTTTATACAGTACATGTATGGTGCCCCTGGAATATCTGTATTGCAATCACTATGGAAACTCATCAAACTAGAGACCTAATGGTTCCAGAAATCATGAAAGCCAAAACATAACCAATATTTTGTTTGGCCTTAAAATGAGTTTCCTCTGCATAGTGATTTTAATATGTTAGAGGTTGTATTTTGTGTTATGCTTCAATCAAACTTAGTGAAATTCTTAAATGTACCAGCATGTGCAGTTTGTCAATGTCTTTGGTCGTGTGTTTGTGTATTAACCCTTTCACCTTTATGTAACTTTAGTAGACTCTACCATGTATTGGTATGGATGAGTCCATTATGGTCTACAGTGGTGAAAGGGTTAAAGTAGTGTATGTTTGTCTCACTAGTCTGCCTGTATATGTGTGTTAAGTATGTATATGTGTGCAAATTAGTTGTATTTGTGTTTCAATGAGATCAGGCAGATCAGGGTGTTTCCAAATGAAAATAGAAATTAAACATTTTGAAAAAATCGCAAAAATGGTGAGATTAAGCTGTAAGAAACCCCCCGAGCTGCTTGTGATCAGCCACTGATACTGTGCATGAATCATGTACCTGTAGATATGTTTTTCCGTGCTTTTCCCATTTCATAATAATTTCCATGATCATTTTATTCTGTGATATTTTTTCAGGAGTTGCATGGTTGTAATTTCTCATTTAAAGCTTTTCATTATTTTCTTTTTTTCTTTTCGTTTGTTCTGTAGCTTTCCAGAGATTCAGTTTTTTCAAAACCCTGAGCTTCAGGAACAGATGATAGACCTGCTGTTTTGTTATAGCCGCGCCCATTCTTCTATCCTGTACAAACAGGTACAGCATCCGTACCTCATTACAAACAGTTCCCCGGGTCAGTGGCATCACGACCACACATAGGGGGGGAATGGAATACGTTATCTGTTTTGTTATGGCCCCTCCCATACTTCTATCCTGCACAAACAGGTACAGCATCCGTACCTCATTACAAACAGTTCCCCGGGTCAGGGGCATCACGACCACACATAGGTGGTGAATGTAATACGTTATCTGTTTCGTTATAGCCCCTCCCATACTTTTATCCTGTACAAACAGGTACAGCATACGTACCTCATAACAAACAGTTCACCGGGTCAGTGGCATCATGGCCCACACATAGGGGGTGAATGTAATACATTATCTGTTTTGTTATAGCCCCTCCCATACTTCTATCCTGTACAAACAGGTACAGCATCCGTACCTCATAACAAACAGTTCCCCGGGTCAGTGGCATCATGGCCCACACATAGGGGGTGAATGTAATATGTTATCTGTTTTGTTATAGTCCCTCCCATACTTCTATCCTGTACAAACAGGTACAGCATCCGTACCTCATTACAAACAGTTCCGCAGGTCAGTGACATCATGGCCCACACATAGGGGGTGAATGTAATACGTTGTGTGTAGAGGTACATATAGTACAAGCAGTGAAATGTATATGTGTGACGTTCCAATGACGAGTACCGCGAGTACCCTGTCACCTTTGTGAACATATAATGAATGTGGCAGAGTATATACCGTGCTAGTCATCGCAAACTCAAACATAAACGTTCACTGGCTGTGCTATACGAACCTAAACGCAATCCATAGTACCCCACCTGAAGAAAATATTTGAAAAAATATATTGTGATTGTTTAGGAGAATTATGTAAGAACACTGTTTTTTGTATCTGTTTCCTGTATACATGTAAAGAGAACATATCATATCACCTTAACCCTTTCACCACCATAGTCCACAATAGACTCATCCCCATAAATACATAGTAGAATCTACGAAAGTTATCTAGGGGTGAAAGGGTTAATGGGTTTCACGCTGTTGTAGGAGCCAGCTTTTTTTTAGGTACTGATTTGATAAACTTAAGATTCATTGGGTTTTTTTTGTGAAAAAATGATGATTTAAATTTCTTAAATGACTATTGCTTTGAAAAATCGTGTAGTAAAGCTATATATACACCTTTAGATAATTCAACTTATCAGATATTTCAAGTTAGAGTTTACATGTGAATTTTGTATAGATACAACTCACTGTACCCAAGATCTCTGATATCTAAATAAACAGTTAAAACATTGCATGGTTAATTGATGCTTCCTACTGTTATATGTTAATGATAGATAAAAAAAAAATCGTATTTCTAAATTGATCTGTTTAAAACAGTTCGGAGAGCACTCATTTATGGCCTGACCCTCCTTTATTGCATTTAAAAATAAATTGATCAACCAAATGTGGACCAATCCCCTTAACAATTATTCAATAGTCTACCTGAACCATCAAAATTAAGGATAACAGTATTTTAACCCTTTCACCACTGTAGACCATAATGGACTCATCCAGATCAATGCATGGTAGAGTATACTAAAGTTTACATAGGGGTGAAAGTGTTAAAAAGAATTATGTTGTAATATGAAATATTATGAATGTTGGTTATATGTACTGACTGGATAAAAGAACTGTTCAGAAATGACATTTTAATTGAATTACGGAAATAATTTAATTTAATTTAATTTGAGAGAAAGGCTCTAATTTAATTTGAGGGAACATTTTAATTAAGTTTAAAGGCAAACAGTTTAATCAAATTAAGGGGAAATGGTTTAATGAAATTTGTGAGAAATGAGTTGGCATGGTTTTTATATGACTACACTGTAATACAGCTTGTTTATATTTTATTTTGTATTTTATTTTTTCAGGGCATGCATGAGTTGTTAGCTCCCCTGATTTTTGTCCTCCACTGTGACCACCAGGCTTTCCTACATGCAAATGAGGTGGAATCGCTGGGGTGAGTTAAAAGTGATGATCAAGATATTCATAATATGATACATGCTATTTTTAGCTCACCTGGTCTGAAGGACCGATGATTTTATGCTGTTGTGCAATGTTCGTCATCCTTTCATCCATCAACTTATCCTTTAAAATGCTACTAGTCCTGAATGGCTTGGTGGATTTTGATTAAATTTGGCCTGGAGCATCGGAGGGCAAAGGGGGATCAATATTCTATATATTGAGTGTTTTGGTCCCCTTGGGGCAGAGAGGTGCTGGCTGGCAATAAGGGAAATTTAGGTAAATTCTCTTAAATCCTTCTTCTATATGAATGGAGGGATTTTAACCAAATATTTTTCAGAGCATCTTTGGGCAAAGGGAGTTCATTTTGTATAGTTAAAATCCTTTTTCTATCATATGAATGGATGGATATTACCCAAGTTTAATGTAGAGTAATCTTGGTCAAAGGAGAATCAATTTTGTATAAATGGAGGGTGTGACTGGGAGAGGCCCAATAGAGCATTATGGATAAATGTTTAAAATCCTACTTCTGTATGAATGGAAGGATTTTAACCAAATTTGGTTTAGAGTACCCTGTGGCAAAGGGAGTTCAACAATGTTGTATGCATAATGGATGGTATGATGATCCCCCCCCCCCCCCCCCCTATTTTGTAAAAGTCTTAAAATCATTCTTTTTTGATGAGGAAAAAAATATCTAAACCAAATGTGTTCCTTGGGCCAAGGGGAGTTAATATTGTATACAAGGGGGATGGGACCCAAAAAGGGAAGGGTTGATGCTGGGAGACAGAGTCAGTATTTGCAGTATTGTATTCCATGAGTTTCTAGGTGAGCCATACAGGCCCTCTGGGCCTCTTTGTTTGCATTTATGATACGATTGAAAAATCATTTACTAATTTGCTATTGGCTTTTCATTGATTGGCTGGAGACATTGATATAACCCTCTGATAATTCCCATGTACTTTTGAACGAAATATGTGATTCTTTAATAAAATAAAATAATTATTAGTAAATGCATGTAGAATCATAATGTATAATTAAAAACATCGTATTTATTTTCATTTAATGTTAATACAGTGCAAAATGTTCGTCTATCAGACATTGTCAAAACTTGAGAAGGATTAAAACAAATCTTCAGTTTGTTTTAAATTATGATATTTTTTTTTTATTTGAAGCTGCATATATTTTTTAAATAAATGTCCCTCCCCCCCCCAAAAAAAAAAATTCATTTCATGACTTCTTACTGACAGGATATGACTACAATGTATCTTGGTGCAATAAGTAGAATCTTTCGGAATGGACTGATTTTATATGTCAACTCAGAAATAGATTGGTTTTATACTCATCAGAAAGGCTGCGGTCCTGAGGCCAGTAGTAGAGGATCAGATATCTTAAGGTTGACTAAAGAAATTAATGAGTAAATGCAGGAGCTAAATTCATTCTATCATGGAATCACAATCATTCGGTACCGAAATTCATTGTTTAGAATCTAAATCAATAACTAGATATATTTAGTCTTCTATGTATACAATAAGTCAGTATCCAAACTAAAATACTAATTATCCAGTCTTAGATATCACAATCTAGGTTGAAAACTCATCATCAAGATTTAAAATCAATTTTCCAAAATGATTTTCAGTAATATCTCACTACATTTCAGATTGATATGTTAAACATGTTATGGTTTAATTGATAAGAGCACCTAAGTTCTGAATATGTAATGATTTAATGTATCATAGGTCAAGGTTATTTCCCCATTACTTTAGAATTAATGTTTTTCGTAGCTGGTACCTAGTAAAGACTTACCTGGTACATAATGAGTTCTGATTTTCAGATGGATTCCAACAGCTTACAGGTTTGGTTCTGGAGAGTTCTGCTTCCACTTCCGACACATATGTATTGTTCCAAATCAAGCTTTGTACACTGTCTCTAAGTCACGTGACATAATCCTCTATGGAAATGGGTCCTACTTTCACTTTGTATGTGCAGTGTATTGCTCATTTGCATTACAGATCCTACTTTCTTTTTATATGTATATATTATAAGCAGTGCTGACAGTAACATAATATAATACTGTATGTGTTTTAAGTCTGCAAGTTTTTGAGAATGTCCTATTCTGAACCAGGAAATGTTGAGTTTGTGATTTTAAGATTCATAATGTAGAAGTGTAAACTAGCTGTTGCTACATTGAGTTTGAGTCATCAAATCAAAAGGCTCTCTTATATGAAGATAAGTGATATATGGAAATTCCACATGAAAAGATAGAATTTTGGTAACCCCCCCCCCCCCCCCCCAATGTTTACGTAATGATAGAAAAAAAAATCTCCCACCTCATGATCTTTTATCCAGGGATTTGGTAAGAATTGACACTAACATTGCTTTGCAGCAATAAATATGAAAATTTCACATTTTGTATAAAGTTTAGAAAAATAGTTACTACCATAATCTATCTGGCAATAACCCCATGTCTTGTAATATTACGCTCAACCATAGCTACTGCAGTTCAGTAAAAATGGCAACAAGTGTGATTTAACAGTATTAACATTGTCCTGTAATAAGCCCTGTGACCTTCCTAGCTTCTTTGCGTCAGAGACTATGTGTTGGCCCCCTGGGCTTATTAGAGGGTAAATACGGTAAGGGTAAAGCAGTTAGCATCGAAACTCATTGATCAAGGTTTTTAAAAGAATTGTTAATTTCTGAGAGATGACGTCCGTTACAGAATGTATGGTTGGTTATATATTCTTCTACTGTACAAAGTGAAAAAGAGGCAAAATTGAGATGATGTCACTTTTCAAAACACAGCTGAAAAAGAAACTAAACTTTGTTTTCATGCACTTCCTAGTCAGATTCACTGAATGTAGTTCCCAAGCTAGAGGTCACTCAGTAGGTCAAATAGGATACACTTGTTCGCATGTCATAAGGTTTGGTTTTGTTTGTTTAGAGGTGTGGAACAAACATCCAGTTATGACGCGACCTTCTGTAAAATGTGTTTAATACGTTAATATATACCAAGCTTGAGCTGATTGCCGTAAATACTTTCAGAATTACATTATGAGACTCTGCTTCTGTCAGCATCCAATTCTTGTATTGATCGAGAAAGACCGGACATAAATGTAGGATGTTTTTCTCACTAGTTTCAATGTAACTTTAGTCTAGCATGTGGAAGAATTGTTCAATTTTTCAACTTATTTCTTTTCTTTCATTTTTGGCTATGCTATTTTTCAAATCTTCAATCACAATGCTGCACAGTTGTGGGGGTGATTTTTTTCTGATGCATTGTTTGAAATTAAATTTAGTTTCATTTAATGAAATTAATGGGAATCTATTACTTACGTTGCTTTTTCGTTATTTCTTCAAATCAGACTTAATATATATTTTTTAGATTTGATAAATCTTTAGCTCACCTGGCCATAAGGGCAATGTGAGATTATGCTATGTCCATCGTCTGCCTGTCCATTAACTTGTACCTGTAAAAAACTACAAGTCTAGAACAGCTGGGCAAATTTTGACCGAATTTGGTTTGGATCGTGCAGCATAACCAGGGTCACATTATATCAATTATGTCCTATAGTTCATGCAGCTATATAGCTTGGTGGCCAGAGTGCTGAGGTTTCTGTCTCCTCGTCACACAGAGGGGATAGATTCTATTAGTCCACCTCAGATTTGGGGTTTACTATAAATGTGGCAGAAAGATAAAGACCAGTACCTTAATTGAATAGATAGAAATCTTTGGGAAGTTGTCACTTACTTCTCAAATAAATAAATAAAAATTAGATGGATAATCGTGCAAAACTTCACAGTGTTGTACCTTTGCCCGTTTGTAAATGCCAACTGAAAGTAGCATTGAATTGGCAAAATTCAGACCTGGGTTTTTAATATTGGTTAGCCAAAATAAAGGATATAACATGTACTTAAGTTCACCAATGGCACAAACAATGTTGTGGTGCTTGTAGTCCATCCGACTTTTCTGTTAACCCTTTCACCACTGTAGACCATAATGGACTCATCCAGATCAATGCATGATAGAGTCTACTAAAGTTACATAGGGGTGAAAGGGTTAAATGATTTTTACGGAACTTAACTATAACGCGGTAAGGTATAGAGTCATGATATTTAGCTTGTAGCATGCTTTGGTGGAGGGCTGTCAGATTTCTTACATGAAATTACCTTGACACACTTGACTTTTAAGGTCACATGTGTTAAATATTTTAAAAAAACTTCAAACATCTTCAGTACTGTAAGGCGGAGATTCAAGATTTATGTTAGATATCCTAAAGGTTGTTGCGATGGAGGGCTTTGTAAAGAGTTTAAATGAATTACTTTGACTCACTTTGAAGGTCACATGGGGTCAAATGGGTTAGAGCTGAAACAGCTTCTGCTACAGAACCATGAGGCCAAACGTCCTAATATTTGTCTGTGATGGAGGACTGTCAGATTTATTCAGTTGAATGATCCTGACTGAGTTTCAAGGTTAAAGGAGTAAAATGTTTAAAACAGTACATTAAAAAATAGATGATTAAGGCCATGAAATAGATTTAAACATGTTTCATCTCCATCACCTGGTAAAAATCCCTTAGATAAACTGCTAGATTTATCCAGTCACCGTCCCCCAGATGCTGTGTGCTTTACTTGGTCAGCACCCGGTTACTTCGCCCCCTCCCTCAGTGTGTGCATGCTAGCTGTGCCGTCACCCAGAACAACATGAAAGTACCTTCACAAGTTAAATCATCGTAATGTCTGATTATAAACAGAAGTCAGTTACAGCTATTACAGTGTATTGTTGTGATTTTTACCTCTGGGCAGAGTTTTAGAATCTTACAGATGTGAGTTATTAAACAAAGTGTTTTATTTTCAGGGAGATTGTCAAAGAGTTGATGGATCCCACGTACCTGGAGCACGATGCTTAGTATGTATCCTAGCGTTATCGTGTAGACATGTGTCACAGAGACATACTAGCGTTATCATGTAGACATGTGTCACAGAGACATACTAGCATTATCATGTAGACATGTGTCACAGAGACATACTAGCGTTATCATGTAGACATGTGTCACAGAGACATACTAGC